TGGGTAACGTATACTCATACAGCAGAAAAAGTCTATAAACAGGCTTTAAACTACCATGAACCGAGTGTATACTATATTCCACCACTTCCATAGTACCCACCTAACCTTACCTTTTTCTCTAACTTTGTGTCTGTTTCTTTTACATTTGTGAATCACTCTTCTGTCCCCCCCCCGCCTCCACTTTTTTGTGACTTCGTCTGTTCCTGCTCTCTGTGAAGCTCGAAGTCAACTAAAGGGATAATGATTTTAAAAAAATCTTCATTTGATAGACGATAATTTTCGAAGCGATGCGGGAAGGCATTTCCCAAATCCTATCTTCCGTTGGGAGTTTCACTAGAGAGCCAGGCTCAACCACCAGGACGGTTGGCTATTCCGCTCGATGAGTGTACGCGAGGGGAATTGAACTTGTGTGTCACGCCACGTTAAGCGGTCATGGTGACTAATGAGCAAGTAACGCACATCTTGCCTAAAAATGAAGGCTACAGCAGACATTTTGATCGCATTCCCATAGATAGTTTGCTCTCCTTCCGCTTGGTTTACCATCAATCTTTACAAATAGGACAGATCTAGCAAGCAAACTAAGGCGCTTTCCATTCTGAACTTTTGTTTGACGATTTAGATAATTTAATAGAAAAATTAAAGCGTCACCTTTCCCAAACCACTCTCAATCACCGCAAAATTTTCTTGTCAAGTAAAGAGAAGCATATTTAAATTCAAATGGCCAAATTTAACTAACTCTTGAAGTATTCTGGAGGGAAATAAAGCAATACATGAAAGTTAGGCATCCGATAGTCCCAATTGGTAAAATATACACTTGAAACCAAACAATGGCAAACCTTTTGCGAATTAAGGTCCTGGAATACTCGCAGAGTTGTCTTCGTCTCTGTACCAAAGACGAAGCCTGACTTTGAAGGTCTGTAGTGACCGATTATCGATGAAACTGATGGTTTCTTCCCCCGAGTAGTACCATTCAAAACCGACGTTTGGTGCGTGAATAGAATCTCATCTCCTTTTTCTGAATAATCCTCTAAAACCGAAGAAAATGAAAATAACTATTGAGAATTATATACCTCAGCTAACGACACATAACAACAAGGAATACTAATTATGAAAGTATAAGACGAAAAAGGCACACTGAAACCGTTCTAGTGAGAAACTCATATTCCAACCACATCCTCGCATAACAATTTGTCAAAACAATACATATCCATGTAGTAGTTTCTCCATAACTTACTCTGGCGACAATCTTCAGGAGTTGAGAAGTCTGCAGAAGATACCTTGGATTTTCTCATATTTCTAGTACTTCTACGAGGTAGGGAAGCAATATCTCCTTCCATCCATGGGCCAACTAATCTACGGGGGGCCTGCGGTGGACGGAGAGAGTCGACCTGAGGTAACTCTGACTCTGGAATGCGGTCCCCCTCATCACTCTCCATTCGGGGTGGCTTCCGAGCTGACTTAGAGGATAAGGCTGCTCTTGCGGCTTTAGTTAAAGGTGGGGCTGGAGTCGCAAGGTTCTTAGCGGGGGAAACTGTGCATTTGATGGCGAGGGCGGAAGAAAGATCATCTTCCTAAACATGGAAAAGCAAATAGGGGTAATAAAGTGGCAAATTTGAAACCAAATTGATTGCACACTTTACCCCAATTCCTCATCGCGATGTTGTTAATAACTGCTAGTATTTAATAAGTCAAGCTATTTCTAACAGCAAATTAATAAGCTTAAGGTAAATAGAAGACAAAAAAGAAATAAAAAACATCAACCCATCTTAACAATCAAAGTATTGAAAAACATAAACCCATGCAAGAGATATTAGTTCAGGTATCAGAATATAAGTGCTAGGTTGCACTTTATACACGAATAGTTTTGCTTCTGTTAAAACAACTTTGTGCCATCAAAGTTTCACCACTGCACAAACAAGTTAGCAATGCTTAAATATAATAGCGGAAACTTCAAAACAGGTAATGAAAGTGTAGGAATTGAATTATTTTACTGAATGAAAGAAGATTAACGTCTTCATAAAACTTACCTCTTCAGAACTCACTTTGGGTGGAATAAGAGCGGGGAGGTAGTGATCCCGAGTAGTCACACTCATCCTCACAAAATTAGCAACCTCACTCATCCATACCCAAATACATCCATTTAGAATTCGATGAGCACATATGAAGGCGTTATAAGCACCCTCCTCTTCAACCGCCTTCGGTTCCTTGTTTGCCGCAATTACACGTGCAATAGATTCTATTGAGGGAAAACCATCAGGTGAGTTCATAACAGCCGAGCCCTTGACGGGCGATTCACGCATTAAATCGGCATTTCTAGGTTCATCACCATCACTACAGTAATCATCGGAATGTGGGGAGTGGGGCTTCTGTTTAGAGAATTTCAGAAAGTTGCTCTCCTCTTCTTCATCATCTCTAGCAGGATATCTATGGGACTTTGCTCTAAGACGCTTCTCTCGACTCTTTATGATGTCATCAAGCAGAACAGGCGAATTGAGAATATAGCTCAATTGAGTTAAACGCAAATCAAAGGCCCAAACTCGCTGACTTAGGAGGTCGGTGTAAGCCATCATACACAGTGCCGATTGAGCACTAGAATCAAGTAAAGTAATAATGACAATTAAAAGTAAAGTATATGGACAATTACAGAAATCATTAAATAAAAATATCATACTGCATAATTTAAACAGTATCTGAGATATCCTCAATGATTTGTCGGTAAAGGAAAGTAGCTTAAACGATAATCCCGGTTCGTTCAAAACCATTTTAATAGACAGAGAGAATGCATAGGTAAACTATAAGTTCCGAAAAGAAAATCTCTTCTTGTTCAGTAGAAACTGCAGTAATGTGATAATTACGAGTATTTAGAAAGACCTAAAATTACTACGCTATCATTAAACAATATAGTTTGTCAATCCATTCAGTGAATGCACATCAAATAATTCGAACATTTTATTGGCTTAAAGATCAAAGTACCAGAAAACGATAATGCAAAGAGCCTCTAACTAATTTGGAGAGAAAAAGCATAACAACGTATCTCATCTTTGGAGTAAATACAGGACAATTTTTCAATTATCATCTTTAAACTATATTCAAAATATGGAAGACAACTAAAGTATAACCAATTCGAAGGTAAATTGAAAAAAAATTCTAGCCGGCAGAGTAGAACGAGAACAAGGCTTCTCGTTTCTCTATAAAGTGATATAAACAAAAACGATAGATCACACCATAAATTTATACCACAACATTTGGTTTGTACGTTAATTGCAGCACCACTAGAACCCATTCTTTCTTCCAAAATCGATATACATACCAAGAGGGTATATGGAATCTTTGGGCAATTCGCAGAAGTTCCAATTGATAAAACCGAGCTTCTTTAACACTTCCGAGAAGAGTGTAGAGTTCAGCAACTTGTAGAGAACCTTCCAACAGTAAACGGGTCCCCAACCAGAGATTCACCATCTCAGGAACTAAAGATATTTAGTCAGTTATTCCATCAAACCTGGGGCTTCTGATTGAGAAAGAATACTTTGGTTAGGGGAATTATTCTCCTTGCTGCACGAGTCTTTACAATACTTCTGATTCAGATGGTTCATCGTAAACTTAACGAGGGTTCGGGCATGAAGTTTTACATTTGTAGCCGCGTACAACAGAGAGATGGGCGTTTCAGAATCATCCTCCAGTGGTTTAGGAGATGCTCCACTATTAAGTCTTGCACGAAGCATTAACCAATTCATAAAAGCTCGGCAATATACCGCTGCCCAGGATTTGCTATCCAGAAAGTTACTATAGCGCATCATTATCATTTCTAATCGCGATCTAATTGCATACCACTGGAAAATTCATATAAATAACTTGTTAGCACTAAATGACTTACATTATCGTAGTTTTGAATGTAAGCCAATAGACAGTCAGAGGTAAAACACTGCAAGCTTGCATGTGCTGTGGGTATTTTTGTACTTAAAACTACATCTTCAAAATCATTGAAGAGAGCGGATTTAGATTTAAGAGCAGATTTGATACGACCGACTTTGTACATGAGATGTTCCCGACTAGAGTAGCAGGTTTGCTCAGCGATTTTCAGTTTTAGGTAAGCTCGATTCATAAGACCATATACTTCGTCAATTACACGCTTGGTTTGATGAGAGAGAGCTTCTAAAGCTTGCCATGTTGATAACTCGGTAGTGCTCTAGATACAAGGAACTAAATAATGGAATAAATCAATATCTACCTGCTCATAGATACTGGCGAGCAAAGCAACTAACTCCAATCGAGTAAGTATTTGTCTATGCGATATTTTTGAGCTTTTGTCAATTGACATTGCTCCCACTTTCGGGGTGCATAAAGCAAGAACGTTAAAGAGAGGACGAGAATTAACCATAGTAGGCAGACCGGCATAAATTTCATCGTCAGACTTAATGTGAGGAGGTTCTAACACAGACTTTAGGGATTCAGTAATACTCTCATTAAGAGATGGAATAAGGATTTTTAACTAGAAATAAGAAAAACTTTAATTAATTTTAGAACAGAAAAATTAGTAACAAAAAATTCAGATACGTACATTATTCGTGGCTTTATCGAACTCTTCAAAAAATTTAGATAAATTATCCAAACATTCCATGTCAAACCTACAGGAGCAGAGAACATATAAGATACACTAACATGAAAAAACGACTTAAAACGAATTAAAAATCCTCTCTTCACTCACTTGAATTTGGTTGTTCAAATCACAAAAGCCAATTTTCTTCCTCTAATTCGATGCATTGAAACAATCTTGAATTTTCTACTTTATATCTGATTTTTGAAAGGCTATAATACAAATTGGGTGAGTAAATTAATTTTCCCTTTGCAAACTTTTATTTATATCAAATTTATTTCCCTACCTTATAGTAACTTCTAAACCATGGATTCATATTTCAAAAATAAATCATTTTGATGTTAAATATACAATTATTCGGACATATCCCGTTAGTCAGTTACACGATTTTTATTGTTCACTAACCTCTAGCCTGATTTATATTTTTTGTTTATACATATCAGGAACAAGCTAACTCATTTACATATACTATTTTATCTAAACAGTTTTCTTTCTTTTCCATGATCACCTTATTCTCATATAGAAGAATTGATTAGGAAATATATGGTATCAAGGAATTACAGCCATCTCCATCGATTTAAATGACTAAATGTCTGCATAAACATTTTGTGCTAGGAGCAGTACTTATTAACATTTGTTTTCGATGAATTAGCTATTTTTGTGGAGAGCAAACCAAAATAAGGTTATATGCTACCAGGATAAAATTTTTGTAGTGAAAAATTGAGTAGGGATCGAATAAAATAATACCTGTAAAAGGCTGGCTGACTAGCTATATTGCGATTACTGGCTCCATTAACTTTCTAATTTTTAATTGAAAGCGGCTGAAGTATTTTAAATCATTCATTTCTTTTTTAGTTCAAGCCAAAGTTGGACACATAATTTTAAATTAAATAGCTCTCCCAATTTTACTATAATCATTTAATTTCAGCACTGATGCGAAAAATTTTAAGAGAAATTCTTGTTTTCATGCAGTGCTTTGCGTCAATATGAGTATTAGGTTTATGCCATCAAAAAAATAATATATTTTTACTCAGGAGCCTGAATAGCATATATTTTTTCAACATGCCATGAATACAGTGTTTCTAAAGAAGAATAAAGCCTTTTACAGTAAAATAAGTGGGAAGTTCATGGGAGTGGTTGGTTAGACATAGAAGAAATCTATAGTACTAGCACATTGCGACCAACAGGATTGTCTCGCTTCAATTTCTAATCTCAAATATATTTGTTTGTTGACGATCCTTATTAGTCGCGTTTCAACTTATTGCCTTTCAGGGTAACTAAATTCCAACCCCTTTCCTTACTGCCCGCAAACGCACAGTAACGATGGTCTGTCATTACCGAAAATTTCAACGGACCCATTTATCCCTTAATATTATAGCTCAAGAAGAAATAGTGATTTTCGTTAGTTATAAGATCGTTAATAGCTTTGCATAATGATTGGTGTATAAATTTATTCATGATCTAAAGAAACCGCCTTTGGCTATTTTTTGAGAATATATGGCTAAAGTGAAAAGTGTCGCAATACTGTATAACACAAGTCCTTATTAATAGCCTGACCATGTGTGCGCATGTAATTATTACAATTCGTTAATAGGAATGATAAATAACTTAAACGTGGGAATGTTAGAGAATTTTAATTTTCATTTGAGCTCAGTGTCATGTTTTTATCATAATCACATGTGACTAAGTCAACTTGTTTTTATAAAACATATGTAAAAAATTTAAAAAACAAGAAAATACTAAACGAACTCATATGTTTGATTGTATTTCAGCAAGTGGAAATAGAGAATTATAGCAATGGCTGAAATAGCGCCTAAGGTAAAATATCACCTCTGGGGTCTTTTTCGCTTCTGGGAGTATGCAACAGGTAGTTTCATTTAAGTGCAAATTTTTAATACCAAACACAATTTATATTTTATTTTTATGTTATATTTTCCAGCTCCATTTATTAACCAGGTTACCAAAGATCGCTATGTCTACTCATAGGCAAGCATCAATGGTTGTTTCCCCTCTCGTTCAGAAATATTATCCAGAAATAGGAAATCGCGAAATCGTTGGTTTTGGACGAAATGGAAACCCACAGTACCTTGATGATCCGCACAACCCTTATCCTTCAATTCGATTCAGAGAAAATGACGATGTGGTTTGTATTACAATTTTTCCATTATTTTCCACCTTAGTATGAAGCTTTAAGAAAGAAAGAGTTGGGTGATTGGAAAAACCTGACCCTTGAGGAGAAGAAACAGCTCTATCGCTACAGTTTTCGTATGACAATGTCGGAAACTAAAGCCCCGCATCCTAGATGGAAGCTTGGTGTTGCTTGGGCTTGTTTCATCATGTCAGCCTCGCTTCTTTACCTCTCTTTCGTCAAATCTGTTGGTATGTACTACTATCTGGATACTTTTTACTCGCTTTTTTGATTGTGTTATTTGACCAATTCTCTCTTAGTTCTGGATTTGCCAACAATGAAGTATGCCAGAAAGGAATATAAGGAAGCCCGTTTGTACCGTCGCCTCTATAGTCGTGACGGTCCAATCGATGGACTTATCTCCTCCTTCGACTTCAATAATATGCGGTGGAAGTAGATACTTTTCTCTAGTAACCTCCCTTCTTTTCATTTCTCAGGCAGACATTTAAACATAAACTGTACAATTACTATTATAAATGTTTTTCTCCGCCGCTAATATCAAAATTTGCCGTTTTAATACGAGTTCTCATTCCTTAACATTTAGATATGTTTTTTATCTTATACTTACCTCTGTGTTAATCTTGAAGTGGTTTATTAGTTTCTCCGAAAGTCGTCTAGCTTTTTCGCTATTTTGCGTCGTTGCTTTGCTACGGATGCTGAGATAAAGCTAAAATCTCTCCTACTCGATCGATTTACAAATGCGGAATCCATTGAAGTTTCAGACATTAGTGGTAAACTGATTTAGTGATACGTAATTTAAATTTCTAAAGGGGGTTGTGGTGCCATGTACCAAATTTTTGTAAAGTCCAAGGACTTTGCTGGCATGTCTGTCCTAGCGCAACATCGATTGGTGAAAGAGGTTTGGTCGAATTTTCTTTAATTAATCTTGTCTTTAGATTCTGAAACATGAAATCAAGTCGATGCATGGGTTAACAATTGTGACAGAAGAGTGATCGAGTACTATGTAACCGCATCTAGTTAATAGAACTGTTTTTGTGCTTGTTTCTTTATTTCTGGTGTGTGGGATTCGTGTAACATCGTCTATGATTTGTCGTCTTTGTTTTCTTGATGAAGGGATTCCAAACCCACCATCTGTATATTTACTTCAATAGTGTCAAGGGTGTTTTTATAGCCAAACTGAATTAGGCTTCACACTTTGTCGGCCTTTGATAATTCCCAAATTGGACCGCTTTTACCACTCATCGGGGTATGATCTTATTAGTTTCCTTGGGCATTCGTTCTTGTAATATCGTATAGTTCAGGATAAATGAAAATATATAATTGTCACATAACAGTTCTATTTCCCTTTCGATGATGTGATTATGAACCAATATTCAATTCAATTGATAAAACGTGCAATACTACTTTAGTGATATTCGTTCGATTTTTTCTTTCAATATGACTATATTGGTGAAAACGGAGAGTGTGATAGGCTAACCTCCACTTGGTGAACCCTGGGTAATGCCTACTCATACGGCAAAGATGTCTATTATTCGGCAGTTGACTTCAAACTACCATGACCTCACTGTTTGTCATAGTCGACCACTTCTACATTATTCAGCTTACCCTACTCTCTATCATTATGTCTGTCTCTTTTACATCTGCAACTCACTCTTCGGTTCACAATCTTGAACGTTGATGTTTCTCCCCTCTGTGAAGTTCGAAGTCAGCTAAGGGCTAATGATAACAGTCAAAATGCCTGTCATTCGAAATAAATAAAGGTGAAAACTATTAGATTGATAAAAGAAGTTAGCTACGGAGGTTGCATACATATCTAAGTACCAAAAACGTTTTCGCAGGCCATATTTGAATGACTTTTATTTTCTAAAATTATTCTTTGTTAGAATTTACATTATTATTTCGATTTCTTATTTTAATCTAAAAAATGAATATTAACAGGGAAGTATTAAGCTCTAATACTGTGCCATAAGTCGTTTATTTATTTGAATTGGGATTTTGCTTAAACGATCAAACTTCAATTGGCGCTAATTTGACTCACACGATATATTATTGGTTGAGAGCTCTTGGCAGTTCTATTGGATAATTCTTATCTTTTCGTACACGGTATAGGAAGATTGCTTTATTTTAAACACTATTCAATCTTTTCAATGCCTCTTTTACCTCGCATAAAATCTTGCGTTCGCCGGAAAGATAAAATTACAAGGAGGCCAACCAAAGTATATTTTAACGTAAAATTTACTGATGCGTTTAAATCGGAAAACCTAGCCTCTCAATTAAAGGTAAGTTTAGTTATGTTCTTGTCATTTTGTAGAGCCTTCTTGTATATATCGCTCGTGAGGGAGTAACAGTAACGGATCTTTTTCGACGTCCTGGAAATATCCAATCAATTAGAAGAATAATTTCTGACTTAGAAGCAGGAGTTCCTGTAAACTGGATGGATTATAATTTTTATACCCTCGCTAATCTCGCAAAGCGATTCCTGCTTAATATTGATGGGGGATTGCTTGGTAAAGAATCTGAAATGGCATTATTTGATGCCCTTGAGGTCAATGATCTTGATACTCGAAATGCTCGTATGAAATCGTGCGTTTTAATGTCTTCTTTGGTGTCATAATTTTAGTTTTCCTTTGTTTAACGTGGCTTATTTATTTTTACAGAATAATTACCTCCCAGCCTAAAACTGTGCAACATTTGCTAACACTCTTATTTGGAACGTGGTTTCGTATGATTTACCACACCGAGGTTAACGCAATGTCTGTTGAGGCTGTCGCGAAATCAGTGGCCGGTTCGATCTTCCCCAATATGACAACTAGTGCAGAAAACGTGCGTTACTATTATTTTTTTATTTTATCGTTTCTCTATATTTTTTATTCATCTCCGTTTTTTGCCCACTAATCAGGTTGAAAAGGCCTCAAAAGTCATGGAAATACTCATAGTAGGTTTCGCTTCTACAGAAATTTTTGGTCGTGATCTTATTGATTACTTCACTCAAGAAACTGGTACAAGCATCTCCAGAATAGAAAAATTTAAATATGAATTTCGCTATCCAAAGGATGTTCCGAGTAAGATATCGCCTTCGCTAACTTTGTTTATGATTAATTTTTTGCTATCAGTGCAGTTTTTTCCGTTGCCTTTATAGGGCAGTACTCACTTCAGATGTTTCGTCAAATGCTAATTAACGAAAGTAGAAAACATGGTTTTGATATTTTACAAGATGGTAAGTGTTAAATCTTCACTTTTGTTAATTTCCTTTTACTATAATTCGATTTCAAATTATGACATTTTTTCGCAAAATATCTTTGTGAAACACGACTATTTCAGTTCTTGATAACGATTTTTAACTTTTTCGTCCTACAGTTTTGCTATGGTTGTTTTGTTTAGTTTAAAGTCACTTTTGCTCCATAATGCTCCTAATAATTGAGCAATTACGTCTAACAAAGATGTATACTTCGAGATTCGTAGTTCCCTAACGTCGATTTTTGAGCACGATAAACGAGGTGATTAATGCCATTGTTTATCCGAACATTATAGTCCTTTCCTTTCTTAGTCAACTAATAATTGAAATGGAAATATGTTTTCCTAATCGTATATAACATTCAACTCAGTATTTTACTTCATTTAATAATAATGGTAGCCATCTTTGTGAGCCGATGCTGTAGTGTTCAACGTACTTGTCTGCCTAGTCACTCATGAGATATTTGCTTATCTGGGTATATTCAGTGACTTTGTTGGCTAACTGCACTGATACAAAATACTTCCCTTTGATTTTTAATCTCTCCTCTTTCCATTTCTGAAAAATCATAAAATTTCCACCGTTCGTTTCTGTGCTACTGCTTATTCATATTCCCTTACTCCTGATTGATTCCGTTTTTTGCCTCTTAAAAGTAGCGAGGAGAGAAGTGGTACTTTACGGTTCCGTTTACCTGCTGCTTTGCACTAATATGCCCCTACAGTGGCCTTAAATTGCTACCGCGTTTAGCATTCTACTTCGCAAATTATTTTCCTTTTGTGTGTCATTTGTGTTAGCAAATTCGCTTTCCAATATCCGACGGTTGTTAATTCTAATGACTCAAGCGTGCTAAAGGCGGGGTGGGGGGGGGGGGGGGGGGGGAGTGTAAGCCTTGATATGATGAGTCATCCGCCATATCAGGCGAACAGATGGTCTTTTTGGAGTTTTATGCGCATTTTTTGTCAAAACATAACTTTCCCTTTTTTGGGAGAGCTATAGGCAAAACACCTACTGTCTTTAGGTAAATTGAATGGGGAATCGAGGTTTGACTTACCTGTGCAAGGTACCATTTCTACTATCGATTAGTATTTTAATTTGATATCAATAGATTAGTGGTATTGAGCTCTTTCCTAGTTAGCCCTCCCCTACCCCCCACCCATTCTCCCATTTTCGAGATGAAAATTGTGGTATCGCTTTTCCTTCATATTAGCAATGATGTAATTTGCGAGTGTTCACTAAAGAAGGAAGCGTTTCCCTACTATTTAGCTTTGCTAATTAATGAGGGGACCTTGTTTATGCAATCACTGAAATACATATCTCCCTATTTTAAAATTGCTGTTTTGTAAAAAGTGAACTTCATAAGGGCACCATAATCATGGGCTGGTTCCTCGTTGTTGCCGCCGTAATGGAAGTCCAAAAATTTCCATGTTTATGAAAAGTACAAAGTATTTGGATATTATAAGGCATACTCTCCAGAAGTCTGAACACAACTAGTCATTTTATAAAGTTAGTTTTTGCTTACTGTTAATGTTGTACTCAGAATTGAATAATCAGTTCAATTATTGTACGACACCGAATTTGCTTCACCTTGTAAACCAATCAATTAATTATAATATTTTGTCGAATTAATTCCTCCTCACTTTCGTCTTCTTCAGAAGTTACCAAGGAACAATTTGAGCAAGTAAACCAGACTATGACACTGGATCTCCCTGATTATCTCTTTCCTCCCATACAACAAAGTGAAAGTGAGACATCCGTAGGAGACAAGGGTGCAGTCTCTCGAAATGCCAGTCTACGACTCCCCCTCTCAAGTCTCCAAGCCTCCTGCACAGCTTCCCCTGCCACCATCGCATTTCCCTCCACTCCTGTTCGTAGTAGCTCGGTTGTGGATGAAAACGATCCCCGTAGGTTTGAGCTCTTCACCTCCGTCTTGATGCCTATTTATGTCAACTTGGTTCATGTGTGCTTGTGTCTAGTCACTCTTACCTCTTTCTAAGTTTTCTCGCAATTTCTTAGAATTAATGTGTGAATTCTCTAGCAAATCCCGCCAAGATCTATTTTCATAAAACCCATTTTGAGCTGTCAGGAATACTTGTACGAAGTACTAGTTAAGTAAAATAAATCAAGCTACCAAGGTAGTTCTCGGGAAAACGAGTATGTTATGACTGCGAAAATATGAATTCGCATCTCATTGGAATTCAAACTAATTCAACGAAATGCAAGGCTGACGATTGTTTGTAGAGAAAGTCATGCTCTTTTTTTATTGACTTCATCATTATTCCGCTAACCTAAAACTGTCAAGGACTACAAAATCCAAAATATCTATTATATCTTTAGGAATAGTGAAGGACATGAATGCTTAAAATGCCATTCACTATGTTGCCATTAGGTTCTCCATGAGTCCCCTTCACGTGTACTTTAAAGACGCAACAGTACATTTTCTGATCTGACTGCTATAAGATAAAGTTTCGATTTCCGAAATTCGAATACCCCATCCTTGAGCTCTCTGTCGATATATTTACCGTTACCAAAATAGCCAGAGAGTTTTTGTTTCGTCTGCCTCCATGATTTGGTATTTGTGCGTTCAACTCCATTGTGATCTGTTCTTATTACTTCTGGCGGTGTCGCTTTGTTAGTTGTGGTGAAACTGACGCGTGCTATCTCAATTTCTCTGTCTTGGCTTTTGTCGTTGTCAAAATCTGGCCTCAGCGAGTTGACACTGCGTAGTTGTGTTTCTTTTAATAAAGTTATGCAATCACTATTAACTGCATTGTTTTTCGAAGGTTTCTGATTACTTATGTTAATGGCGTTAGCATTTGCTCATTTTTATGATAAATAATGGTTTATTATTTACGAGTTCAAATATTGCTGACCCCTTCCATTCAATTCTCATTTACTTAATGTGGGCTTTTTCTTTCATCTATTCGTTGTTAAGATCTAGATTTGGTGGAAGTTGGAAGGCCAAAGGTACATTGGGACTAGCGTTAACATTGACTCACAACCATTTTGACTTTATCTTGATTTATGGAATGAGGCCAAATCCTTCTGATGCCGTAGATATGATATAACTACTGCATTAGCCAACATTTCCACTTGGGCATTAGGATTCAACCTAATCCCTTAAGCCTCCCTAGGAAAATACGCAGAGGGAGGTATCACCTCAACCCTGGAGGAGGACACGCATCCGAAATCCATGGCAGTTTGGGAAATTTCAGTCTGCTTGACTCGAGGAGTGTTGTTTGGATTGTATGCAAGCCATCTGTTATTTTGTGTTTTATGCTTTCGAAATTGGAAAAATCGTTTCTCATTTGAAAATAACCAAATCGTTTGTGCTTCGGCAGGTTGTTTTACTTTCTTCGCCTTTGTCAGACGATTTTCGCTACCTTTTGTATGAGAATTTGACCTCGATTACTTTTTTTGAGTAGGGGAGAAGGTCTTCATTGCATGCAAGCCTCATAGTAGAGGCTAAAACATCTACTTACTTGTTCTGAAAAGCCCGAGTTTCGATGTCAGAGTGCTCTCCGACACTTTTTAGGTAGCAGATGTGGAGTCAGTTAGGATAATCTGTTGTGTGGCCTTCTACTAGCCACATTGTAATTCTCCAGTTCATATGACATTGCTTTCAATATCTTGAGGTAGCATTTATGGCCGATTCCAATAACCTTGAAGCAATGTATTTCATAATTCAGGATTTTTCTAGTCACCCATTTTCATTTGTAGTGCGTATACAAATGAATAGGAATTTAAACCTGCTGTGTAATGCCTTTAACGCCTCTGGAAAATCTTCTAAATATTAAAATAACCCGGACCCCATTTTTGTAAGTGGTTTCAATTATTCATCTTGGTAAGAGGATTCGTATCATGGAGGCTCTCTGATGAGAATTTCAAGTTTTTAAGAGGTGAGGTTGGCCATTTCCTTCCCAGAGTAAGTGTAGGTGGTCATCGATTCCATAACCTCTGATTCCATAAATTGACGCGTTATCAATATTAGTGAGAAGAAGGATCTACATTTGGCATTCTTAAATCCAGTCTCATTCCAAAGTATCTTCAGTCTTAACTATCTGACGTGGCAGAAACTTCGTCATTGCCTAGCCAATATCCTGTAAGTAATATTTCTGATTGTTTCCACTCTTGGCTGTACTAGCAGATTATCTAAGACTTTATGATGCGGTTGGATTTAATGGGCGCAGAAGTGTAAGAACCCGTGAGTCACTAACGACTTAGTGCTACTGGTGTGGGCAGGGCAACTGCCATTCCAAATACTGGCGCTCAATTGCTGACTCACAGACTTATTTGCTTTCCTCTTGTTTCCATGACATTACCAGTGGAAAGTTGTGTGCTTCCATTATTGTGTTATTTCTTTCTTCCAAGGATTAGCTTTTCATTTCACGGAAAAATGTGGTTTTTTAAACGCGTTCATAATTTCCATACTTAGTGTACCGATTTACTAGTCAATTAACTCTTTCCCAAACTCCGAGCTCCTAATTCCATAGCTATGTTCATTTATTCTGCATTAACTCAGTGAAGTGCACAGTTAAGAATAATCTTCAAGGTCTTGGAAAAATTACCAACTTCCTGTTTCCAAAATCCCTTAACCGGAGGTCAGTTTTTTATCGTTTCTGATGTGAAAAGAATGGTGTATGTTCATGTAAATGGATTTCGACCCTCCAATTAGATGTAAACTTCAAGGTCTTCCCTAAACTTAAAAAACTACTAAACAGTTTAACATAGGCACATTGGAAGAGAGCTCTTTCTTAGGGAATACCTAGGCTCTCGTGCAGATGTCTCGTTTCAATTGCAGTCGCTTTGTACACTATTCTTCGCGTTATTTTCTAGATCCAGTACAGGTTTGAAAACAACGGCACAAATAAACGGCATGCAAATGTTTATCAAGATTTCAGGTATTGTAAACTACTATTGGGGTTTGTTTACGCTTGTGAGTATGCAGTGGTTGTCCTTTACGTAAAAGAACATTATAGTTGCGTAGATAAAGCATATGGTTTTATTTAGAGCTTAAATTCTCAATAGACTTGCGTCTGTAAACGAAGACTTTTGCTCTCAAACAACCTGTTCAGATACCTCTGCAAATAATAGGAATGCTATTTGTTATACAAGTCTGTATAGAGTGCAGGGAAAAAGGAAGGGGTTCTTGATGCCTATTGGTTAGATTTTCTTCTCCACTGTTAACCTCCGAGCTTATGCCAGTATATTTTTTAAATCCATATCTCTTGAAGTATTCGTGAATTTGTCTGTAAGCTTGGATGGTTGTTTCCACTCTCGACCATCACTTTTCATTGTAGTATTTCAGTGAAAGAGTAGTTGTATTTACCGTGGTTCATTTAATTTATTTAATCCGGATTAGTATTGTATTAATAGGGTTGTATTTAGGGTCGTGGCAGTTGATTTAACGTTTTTTCCAAACATGTTTCAGGATTCACGTCATGTTCTTTCTGCTTCAATGGCATTCACCTCAATAGGGGAATGAGTTATCTGTCAAACTCTGTGAACTGAAACTTGATCTGCTTCCAATTTGGATTGTACTCGTCCATAAATCGAACACTGATTTTGTGTGTCATGGCGTTATCAATTTAGTTAATCTATTTCACCAGATGATGATGATTTGGCACTGTTGCAATATTTTTAAGCGTTTGCTGTTGCTATAGTTGGTCAGACTTAGTGGGAAGGAATTAAGGTGGAGTAATTAAACCACGATTCCGTATTCAGAAGTTACAAACTGTAATACTGTTGAAGTTATTTGGAGACTGATTAACTTTCTGGTAGGTTGGTAGTGATAGTACGATTCCATTTCCTGGTTCTCTCGTGGAAAGCCAAAAATCGATTAATTAGTGTCATTGACTAATATTTGCCTACACTGAAAATATTCGCATCGGTCTCCTGACGCAGAGGTTATGCATAATTGTGTTATTTGAATGCTCACGAACTTGAACTAAGGTTATATTGATGATGTGCCAAATTTGTTTCCCCATTTATGCTGAGGGTTAATGTATCTGTCTTCTAAGTTCTCAGTATTGCAAACACTTGAGTCTGCACTTTTCCCCAAATTATGGCTCGTTTTGCTTGACGAATTCGTCATAGTCATTCGTCTTTCCGAAATGTTTATCGCAGGTTACGCTCCACTGGTATTTGTGGCCGGTAGGTGCGATGATTCTTTCAAACCTACAACTACTTAAATACTCCTATTTGAGGAAGCAATTTATTCTTTTTCTGTGTTCTGCTTTGGCGCTTAAAAGAAGCCATACTCACATTGAAGGAGATGACGTCAAATCCAAGTTGATTGGGAAAACCACTTCAATTGACTGCCTAATGTATTTCGTCACGCATGTACTTCCGGATGAAAATTAGCTGTTGTCGCATAGATGTTTGGAATAGAGGATTCCGTATTACTCGAGACTGATGACAGCATTTCGACCGGTGACGCCTTTATAGATGCTTATAGCACATATGGACACGTCTAAAAAAATTAAATATTTAAATTAGATGCTCTCTGAAAAAGCCAAGTACACAACAACTTCATCAGATTACCTGTTTAAACCCATTGTAAACGGGTCTTGTGCGTGTGTATGTCTAAAGTAGCTCGTGATATTTAACATAAATTCGCCTATTTCAGTTGTTTTCACCTTTTCAAAACACTGTTTTTCAAAATTACAAAAAATTCTGGCCCTTCTACGCGAATGGGACCGTTTTTTTCTTGCGATTTGCCGTTTCTCACCTGCTCTTCCCCTCTTCTCCATTAAATCCAATTCAATACAATGGCAGTAAAGCTGTCTGTGTTTACACATATGCACGTGTGAGGCCAGTCTCTGGGTTCATTTTCCGAACTCCTGTGTGGTCACATATTCACGCTAATATGTAAAAACATCATCATTTTACTCAGTTTTTACCATATGTGATTAGAGTTCATCATAATTTATAGGGGTCATCTAATGGAAATTTGGGGTGTTTGCTTCTCAATAGCTTTCTATGATCTTGTATTGTTGGATGAACTAGCCAATGATAATGCTTCTCGTTTCTTAAAAACACAAGTCCCAAAATTAAGCAAGTTCAAACATACATAAAGAAGCGTGAAGCTGTCAAGTGTAGGTTGACGTGTGCAAAAAAAGGTTAAGATCACTGTTTCAAGTTCAAGTAGGATATCAAGCACACACGTTTTTGGGTGTTTTTAAGTCATATAATCGATTCACCATTAGACAATAAATCCCCACTTTTTACTTCTAGTTAATATGTACTCAAGTCAATTTTTTTCTCTCCACTTCCCTTTATGATCGCTCATATATGATCAGAGGTCATATGTGATATGCTATGGAAATGAATACTATTCACGTGACGCACCCATTAATCGAATTGAATCTGGTGAGTTTAGTCATCGGACGTCATAGTTGGTGGAATCAGAGGGCTATTTTGGCAGTTGGTCCTTGCCATTGGTTTTGAGACTAAGATGCATGCTATTCTCGCCTTTTAATCTGACAATAGAGTTTCTACGATTCAGCACACGCGCAGTAAGTTTAAGGTTAATCTGGTAACTTCAAGTTTTAAGGTGTATTCTGGTGGAAATGCCCTTGGATTTATATTCTTATGGGGTAAAACATTTCTTCACTAAATCCATTTACGTCGTAGAAAATTATAACTCCTGATCCAAAATAATCCCATTGGCAAAGCAAAATTTGAATGTTATGGACTCAAACCATAACAGACGAGGGTTCAGTTTGAAATTGGAGTAGGCACATTTGCTGGTTAGAGTCTTATTAATTACAAACAAGTTATTTCACCTTGGAAGCACTGATGGCCGTTTAATTCTTGAAATGGGGATTTTTACAGATTCGGAAGTAAAAAGGGCCATATTTATTCTTTTGAACACAATTTTCCTTCATACGTTGGTGGGCTTTTCCCACGTCCCGATTAAATGTCAATGAATTTTTTTTCTAAAAGAAATCTGCTTTTATGACTCTGTTAATAATTTTTCCAACCATTTCTTTTGTGCATTTCAAGGATTTCCTCTGTTTGGATGTTGAGAAATGGAAAATAAATATATAGAGAGGTAGATAATGTCCTTCCTTTTAAAGTAAAGCGTACACAGCTCATGGTTCTCGGGAGAAAATTATTAAAAATGTTGTAAACCGTAAAATAATCCAATACGAGTGGGTGGGGGGGGGGTTGAGCAGAAATAATGAGTGAAATCTGAGCACCAGAAAGACCCCCATTTAATTTCTCTCCTTTCTAGGCCATCTGATTTTATGTAATGCCGATTAGTTCACCGTACCATATCATTCCTATGACGTATTTCAAGTCCATTGAATTATAGCATTTCTAGGCGAGTTCATGTGCGGTGTTTGGAGTTAACCTTGCCGTTCTCACTACATTTATCTCTTCGGTAAGCTGATTACTATTTTACTAGGTGCCTGATGCCACAATTTATCAAGTGAAATATTTTTCTGAAGCATTAAGCACCATGCCCTAACAACCAGCATGGCTCTCGTTGAAGGAGGATGTAATTAGGGCATCAGTTATTTGAATTTACAAAAATGTGGTGGGGTTCTCCTGATACCAAATTTGATGTCATTTGCCAAAGGCACATTTCATTAATTTAATCGGAGTGGAGCAGCACAATTTTATAGGATTAGACAACCTCTCCTATTGGCGACTGCCTATAACAGGCCCAGAAGATTCCGATGAGAATGTACCTTAGTTTTGTATCAAGTGCACTTTTTGGAGTTTTCGGTGTAGCCAGACTTTGTAAAATCGAATACCATGCGAGTTAATTCATACAATTGATACCTTAACTCGATTCGACCGAGGTTGACTCAGTCAGTTAAAAGCATTGCCATAATCCAGTAGCGAGTCTGATGTTTTATGTAGGCTCAAAACTAAACGATCTGGAATATTGACAGTATCGCCAAATCTCGTCTTTCCACATCGTGTTCTATACCCGAATTAGTAATTTGGTGCTTGCTAGAGTGGAAAGCTAAGTGCACGTGTGCCCACACTTTATCAAACTGACACACTCTTAATTGCTACAATCTCCAACACCTCTTAATTTCCTTCCTGCAATAAAAAAAACTGATTATGGGATTGGCTTGTAGGCTTCCCCTGAACAACACCCTTTTCATATGCTGTTGTATGACGCGAATTCAATGGGTTAATCGAGTACCNTTTTTTCAATGCATGTATGCGACACATTGAGCTTCTCTGTAATATCTCGTGTTGTGCTGCGACGATTTGTATCGATAATGGCCTTGATATGGGTTTCATCCACTTCGACTGGGCGGCCAGATCGTTGTGAATTTTTCAGTGAAAAATCACCGGAACGAAATCTTTCAAACCAATTTCGACACTGCCTTTCTTTTAAGGCTTCATCTCCATATACGGAACATAACTTCTTTTGTGCTTGCGATGCGTTCTTGCCTTTTCGGAAGTAATACAATAAAATGTGTCGGAAGTGCACGTCCCGTTCTTTCATTTTTAAATTGGGATAAAAACAAAACTAAAGAACTAAACAAAAAAATTTTTTACTAATTAACCTAGAAGCCCATACAGTAAGAAAAAATATAGGTTAGATGCTCTGGCCACGTTAACAAAACAAAAGAAAGTATAGAGTGAATCTGTCAACAAAAACGGCGATGACTTAGTTGCCCACCCAATAGTTAAATAATCTCATGAAATCATCTGTTCTTGAATTCGCTCGTTCTGAGGCGGAAGCGAAACGGAATAATGGTTAAAATAAAAATATATTAATAATTTTGAAGTTCGCGGGCTGAAAAGTGTCCATTTTTTCTTACCCACATCAATCACTTTTATTGCCATTTTTCTTTATTATATTCTTTTGCTCAGAAACCTTTTCCACTGCAAAAATTAGCAAAGTCTTTAAACTTCATCTAAATGGTAATATTAGTATTTGAACTGACAAAGTGAACATTCAAGCTTCTATGCAGTAGAGCAACTTGATGTTATTTTTTGATTTGTTTAAATAGGATAATTTAAATCCGAATATTCGAGCACACGTCCAATGAGTGAAGTCTCCAATTACATGTGACTTAATAGCGATCAGCTAAATACTTGTTTATTTAAAATACAACGTGAATTATTGAACAATGATGGGTACAACATACACACAGATTAACATATGATACTAAAATTTAAAGAAACACAAAGTTACCATCTAAATTCAATAAGTTTTAACGGATTAATTTAAAGTATTATTCAGTATACTTTGCAGTCTTTATTCAGTAAAGATTTCAAAGAGCCTAAAGTCTATTATTTATTGAAAATTGAAATTTTGGAAACGAATTTTGGAAGTAAAGATGAGTAGACAACTCAAACTCCGGTTTTAGAAAATTGTTATTGCTCAAACTGGGATTGTTACTGATATGAAAATAGTAGGGACCGACTAAGTGGTATTCAAGTTGGGTGAGCACACCACGATGTCGAGGCGTTTTAAGCCGTTTATCAAAATTTGTGTTTTTTGGGAAATTACTTATCTTGACCTAGCGTAAAACGATGCTATGGTATGCGTCTTGAGAAGCATCTACCCTTTTAGGAGTTCAACGCCAAACGCAAAAAATCCAACTTTGTTAGGCATGATACATTTCAGTGGTTAAAGATAAAAATAAAATAAAAAAGCCCTCAATTATTAAAATAATTCAAAATTCTTAACATTTTAAGATATTTAAAAAAAATTACCACTGAAAGTGCTGATAAATGTAAATTTCGATCGTGAAATAACATCTAAAAATGGAAACGCAAAAATAGCCCAAGAAAGGCCAAAAGGAAATTTAGAAAATAGCTGAATAATCACGCACGTGCAATCTGAAAAATCAACGCTTTTAAAAAGCCAAAAATTGATCATGTTAATCGCAGCGGAAATGTACCGGCATTTACGTGATACCTAAACCCATTCAAATTGTGGAAAAATATGCTTCTATACATGCGTGAAGCATTCAAAAAGATTATAAAGAGAAAACTCGAAACCAGCTTGTGGATGTAACTCAAGTATGACGTCTCAGATTTTATGGCACCTCTAGCAAAAATTGGTGTAGACTGCGCAATACTGAGGAGGAAGCCCCATCAACACTGTAATATTTATTTATGTCAAGTAGCAGGCATTTTGATTGTTATCATTAGCCCTTAAGTTGACTTCAGGCTTCACAGAGGGAGGGAACAGGAGAGTGTTTCAAAGATGTAAAAGAGACAGACACAAAGGTAGAAAAAGAGTGAGGTGAGTACTGTGGAAGTAGTCGAATATGACATACAGTGGGGTGATGGTAGTTTGAAGTGAGAAGTCAACTGCCGGTTAATAGATTATTTTGCCGTATGAGTATACCCCTGCCCAGAGTGCACCACGTGGAGGTAAGTCTATCTCGCACTTCATATTGGACTATTGTTTTCAGTCAACTCAACAAGTATATTCCCCCCCCCCCGCCTCACCTCCCCCCTTAATGCAGACATGTTCATTCAAGGCCCAGGATGCATACATTTTAAGGAATTTATGGATTTGTTTAAATATTTCAGCATCTCTGCATTTGTCTAAAATAGTAACTTTGATATGTGCCAAAACTAATCGCCCCCCCCCTCCCCCTTCCATCCTCTCTCCAACCCCCCCCNGGGGGGGTAATGTTAAAGTCAGATTTTACCGATTTAAGAGGCGCTAAATTGTCTTCTAATTCCAATTTAACTACACTTACACTCTGCAGGAGATCAAACGATTATGTCAGGATGCTAGAAAGAAATGGTTCTCCTCCCTTTTAAATGGTTGAGGCGTCTCTCTAACATATTCGTGTGATTTTTTCTATACTCACAATACACATGATTAAAAACTCCAATTCAAGGCTGAACGTAAAAGTATTTTATTGACCGAATAATTAGACTTCGGAGATATTAATTCCAGTCTATGAAGACGTTGTCAGGACCATAAAGGTGATCTTTCCCGAGTCATATCTTTGGTGCGCATGCAGCAGTGGTCAAGGGAATGGTTATTTTACCAGATATCTTTTCTCTAAAGTAAGTAATACCAATTCAGGACATTCTGTAGAACTGCACCGCTTTGATTACGTAATGCAGATGCTTAGTCAGTGCAATGATTTGAAAATTAGTGTGCGTGTGTGTGTGTGTCCTAAGCGTTAACCCCTTTCAAGAGCACGCAAAGTACATTGTCTGATTTACACTGCCTACGCCCAAGCACATGCCTTTAATTTTTCTGTGGTAAGATAGAATGCAGACGCTGTCTCCTTTTATCTCCTATTGCTCCCCCCCCCTCCCCCCACTTCCGTACTTAAATATTTCCTTCTTCTTTCAAAGTACTTCCCTTGTGTACTTTATACTGATTGGTTTACCATCTTCTTCTCTTCGTGTTTGAAATTTCGCATTACTAGGTTTCAAGATATAGCTTCTTTATAATTCGGATGTCTTATAAGATTAGAATTAAACAGTCTAGACTTTAAGCCTATAGTTATTATTATTATCATATCAAATGGCAGGCTGTTCCCAATTATTTATTTATTTATATCAAATGGCAGGAGTTTTGAAGATAGTTATCATTAGCCCTGTATCAAATGGCAGGCGTCTTGATGGTTATCATTAGCCCTTAACAAATGGCAGGCGTTTTGATAGCTATCATTAGCCCTTTAACTGACTTCGGTATGGCAGGCGTTTTGATAGCTATCATTAGCCCTTTAGTTGGTGGCAGGCGTCTTGATGGTTATCATTAGCCCTTTAGTTGATTTCAGGCTTCACAGAGAGGAAGGTATATCAAATTGAAAAAGGTCGAGATGGGGGGGGGGTTGAAGAGTGTTTCAAAGATGTAAAAGAGACAGACACCAAGGTAGAAAAAAGGTGAGGTGAGTACTATGGAAGTAGTCGAATATGACATGGAGTCAGGTCATGGTAGTTTGAAGTGAGAAGTCAACTGCCAGTTAATAGACTTTTTTGCCGTATGTGTATACGTTGACCAGAGTGCACCACGTGGAGGTTAGTCTATCGCACACCCCCTTTTAAGCCTATAGTAAGTGGGTGTACAATTCGAGAAGGAATTTCGATCTCAATGGAATCTTTTTTCACCAATTGTCTTGAAAGCTAATCTTCAACAGAAGTGAACTCTTACTATCCTGAAGATTGTGCTTAAAGCTGCACACCTTTAGATTCACTTTGTATTTTCAATACGAGCATTCACGAAATGAACTTAGTTTAAAAGTTGGTAATTTTAACTTGAACTTTTTTGCCTCTATTGAACAGAGAGGTGTTTGTACTTAATCAGCGAGAAGTGTTTTACCTCGGCATTCCTGTAGGAAAGCTGCAGATTGGAGACTTTCTATTTTGGAAACTCTACACTGTATCGTCAATATTAGCAGTCTTTGCATTCTGCCCGCGATGATTTTTTTAGAACTCACCTGATATTCAACAATTTTAATTTAGGCTTTGATTGAGGAGAATTGAATTTGTTTTGTAACGAAGCGCACTTTGACGAGAGGGAGGAGGAATAAACGATTATAGAATTTTAGTGTAATAGTAGTGTTCTTCGTTGATTAAATTTTTTTTGCTAATTTTAAACTTTTGCTTTCGGATTACTTTCAGAGGAAGTGGTAAGGCTTTACAAGTCAGTGCTTGTTTACAAGGGTTCTTTTTAATTTACAAGTTCTTCTGATTTTTGAAATTATTGACTGGTTTGTATGATTATTCCATTCTGAAATCGAATGAGGCAGAGGTGTACCACCCCATGGTCAAACGTGTATTCTTGGTCTTCATTTATACCTCACATTTGATTTGATTCTTGATTGGATTTGCTGTTACACTGCTGTTCTTTGTATTGTTCACTTTTTAAAAGCTCGTGCATAAGACTTGAACACATTGATTTGATGATTCTGCTCTTGAGATATGCTGTCTTCGTACAAGTTAAATGAGGTAAAACACATTTTCGAACAAAAAGTTATTCCAGACACATAGACGTATTTAATTAATGTTTCATTTAGCCATTCGCGTATTAATTCTTTGTATTTCACGTATTATCTTTTAAATAGACATAGCAATGTCACTTAGAGTCTACATAGGATATTGCTCAGTTGTAGGAGATGGGTTTGCAACATCCTTTTGTTTGACAGAACTTAAGACCGATTAATTAGAATATGCTAGCATTTTAAGATTGGTTATTACACAGCGGTTTTCATGCTATAGCAGAATTCGCTGGCCATCACCGTATTGATCGTGTCCAACAGTACTCAGAGAAGCGTACACACATCACAGCGACAGACGCTGACCTCGCTAATTTCCGTCGGCGGGACAGCAGTGGTGCTCTACAGAGAGGTGATTCATCTCTTCCAGATGGACGACATATCTCCAATCTCCTTGGACGGCAGTATGACTCCCTCTCTGAAATGGTCGATTTATCGGACGGAGGCCAAGAAAAACAACAAGTAAGTACTGCCCAATGTAATTAATTAATGCAATTAAGTTGTCATTTGATAGATGTGGTTTAGACTTGAGATTATAGCCTTTCATACTGCATTTATAAGCAGTGAATGCAAACAGTACAAACAGTAGAACTTATAATTTGGATCAGTAAGCCTCCATCTGTAAAATTTCAAAATGCCTCTTGGTGCTTTCTGGAGAGTTATGAGTTTCCTCTCTCTCGAACGTCAAACCTCTTTCAGCAACTCGCTTATAATAACCACATCTAATTCTGTGGATCCAAGTTGATTTAAGACCCACTACCTCAATGGTACTCTCGTGTTTTTGTTTGAATGCCACCTTGAAGAGGCAATGGGCTAAATCCTCTAATCAGCTTATGGAGACGATTAGTGAGAACAACTAAGGTATTGTGCTGAGACGCTTAAGTGGTTAAAAGGTTGCTTATAGATGCAAGTTATTAGGATGTGAGATTTTGAATGGAAGCAATTGTCCATTATACAACTCGTATTTAAACAGTTCTGGCATTATTGAATGCACTTACCTCGTGAAGTAGTTCGCACTTATCATTTCTTCGTTTAAAAGTTATAATAACATTCACTGATTTTAGTGATTACTTCTATAACTTTGGAACATTTTTTGTTAAATATGATCGCTTCCTTGTTTTAAGAACGGACTCCTTTTCGGATTCCTCCAATATCTGTTGCGTTCTATTAACAGCCCATTTAATTAGTCGAGAGGGTAATAAAATCCCCTTAATTGTAAGGTACTGAAGTTACTACCAACGGCATGATTAGAGCATCATCGCGGGCAGAGATTAAGTAGCCAATTTTGTCGTTCAAACGGATGATTTCAAGCTTATACCCAGAGAAGCCCTGTATTCTTGATTTCGAAAGGTTTGGCCTTTTATCCAAATGAGTCTGATATATGGAGGGGTTTGTTGAGATCTCCTTGGCCTTCAATTACGTCTTTCTATACAAGCTAGCACTCCATTCGAAAGCTGGTCTTTATTGTTTTTAGTCATATTAATTAAATCCACTTATTCGGTTCCGGAGTTGAGAGGAAGATTATAAAAATGAAATTGGAATGAGCCAAATGTCTTTAAGAACTCACTGACCAATCTTTACTTCAATTTCGGTGTTTCAAGTGTTGAAAATGACTATGACAATTATTCTATTGCTGCAGTAGAAGCGTTGCAACTCCAGTTCTCTGTAAAAGCGTTAAGCCCTATTTCCTCTACACTAGCATATGTCCAAGTTACTATGAAAACGGCTATATCTGCATCATTTTCTTTTGTCCGTGAATAGTGGCGGGCTACTTAAAGGGCTTTTTTCTCCTTAAATCCTTAAGGGTATTTTAACCATTTTTCTTCTTGATCATTGGCAATTTTTCTTTGCTCTGTTCCCCTTTTTTAACCGTATCGCATGTTGTGTTCCCGCACTGCACTCCGTGTTTTGCCCGTTCATTGAGATTGGCCTCTTTTTATGGGCTAAGTTTTGGTAGGTGCATGCAAATAGCATGGAAATAACTACTCTTATCAACTCTTGTTATGGGAAGGAGGGTCAGGAGGGG